GCCCTGCCTTCATCAGCCCCATCCCTCAGGTGTCTCCCTCCCTCCCTCAGCCTCATCCCTCAGGTGTCTGCCTCGTTCCTCTCTCAGTCGCTCTCTCTCGCTCCTCCACCAGCCCAGGAAGAAACTGCTTCAAAGAAGCCTGCAGGGTGGCTTTTCCTGTCGGCGCAGATCTTCCGAAGCGCCCGTTCACCCCCACCCGCAAGTCATTCAATGACCATCTTGAAGATCGGCCAATATTATCTGGTTGCCGCCACAGAAAAACCAGCCCAACATTTCTCTGCCTGGGGCCGGTGGCCATTTTGCACTCACCGGCCTCCCCAGGGAACCTGAAATTCCCTTAAGAGGTGCATCAAAGAAGCCACCTTCTCGGACCAGGCCACCCAGCGCAGCAGATCCAAAGTGGCTCCAGCGGAAGGCACCAAGAGAGAACCAACCTTTCCCTCTGCACAGGAATGAGCGGACTGGGGACGAGAGAGACGATGGGACGATGTGCCCTGCGGCTGTTTCAACCTTCCACACACAAATAAGGAGGGGGCCTTTGGAGTACAAGGGGGTTACGGAGGCTCTCAAGGTGAATCCTTGCTCAGTGCAGGAATCGTATTAGCCAAGAAACGGTTCTCTAGCTTCCACTTCAACCCTGGTGACTTTAAGCTGTAGAGGCCTGGACTCCCAGCATGCTGGCTGGGGAATTCTGGGAGTTCAAATTCATGATTGTAACTGAGATGGGCAACTTTACCATTAAGCAAAGTGGTTGCTAACTGGGAAATCACAATTGCAACAGCAAAGTGACTACTCAATGACTAGTCATTTTCATGCTTTTCTTTTGTTTGCCTCCTAACCACTCTGTCACCCTTTGGCAGCAGGAAATGGAAAAGAAGGGAGAGACTGCCGACAGAAATTACGTACTTGCCCCCCCTCCCCCCAAAAAAGGAGCAGAGACCGGAGAGGGAGAGATTTCAAGAGAGTAAGCTATTTGCTCTTCTACACATTGAGAAAAATGTGGTTGTGCTGGCAGTGGGAAACACCTTCCTTTCTTGCAATCTCTTTCTCCCCAATTTGCAGGACTCCCTCTAGATGTCGTAAGAGCTACTAAGAGTTCAGGACAGTAGTGGATTCTTTTTGCAGGATGATCTGTCAGGAACAGCTTAGCGGATTCCTGAAGTGAACACAAAATTAAACCTATAACGTCCCTTCCAACTCATACATCCTACGTCAATTCCCCGGAGTCTCCTTTTCTCAAGACTAAAAAAGCCAGCATTTTCAACCCTGTCCACAAGATTTAATATTTGGTCTCATCATCCCAACGTCCTTTTGTTCATTTCTTACTTTGCAGAACATTGAATAATTACCGAATACTCTGTTTTGGACTGCTTAAGCCCCCCTTAATCCAGAATTGTTACAAAACCCCCCTCTTTAAATTAAATTCTCTTCAATTTCTAGTGAATTCAACACAGAAATTCAAGGCTAGCATAAGGGGTTGTGATCTTAGGAGACAAGGCATAAACAATTCGTAAGCGTGAGGTAAGACAGACTCTAGAAGTCCTCTGAATCATCGGTCAAAGCTTTCCCTATTTACGTGAAAGCAAAGCGTGTTGTGTTTCCACATAACCCACCCAGTGGACTTTCTGCCGGCCAGATTCCCAGGGATTTTTTTTCAGCACTTACGTGATGAAATCCAGGAAACTGGCCAAAGGCTCGTAAGCGTGATTCCGCATGTGGCGGAACTCCACAACCATCTTCTCCTTCAGCTTGTCATCAATGACAGAGACAGTGAGAGGGGAGGCCTCGTTGGCCAGGAAGTTCCCATAGTCCGTACTCTGGAGATGAAGCTTCAGATCTGAAAAATTAAAAACAAATTTCAGGCAGGAAAACTGATGGAAGACAGACCTGGCAATCAATCTCCCCTGTAGGCTGGAGCTTGGTATTTTTACTTGCCTAATGAACAAAGTATGTCAGCGGCCACCTTAGGCTTGCTTGTGCTTCACTCCTAGGCAGCGAAAGACTGGACTGTGGGCAGGGGGAACGAAGGGGGAAAATGCCTCGGGGAAACGAAAGGGCTGCATCTCCCTGAGACACGGCCTCAAGGTCACCCAGCTGGAAGAAGAAGGGGCGGCATACCAAACTATTGGACTGTTAGACTGTGCTTGGATGTTAGGAAAGCATCTTGACTGAACTGGTTGCACTGGGGGGAGCAATGAGAGACAGTTAAGGGAGGGAAAAGTAGAACTTTGGCGTGCAATTTTCAATTTTACCTTCGCACTACTGCAATACACTTGATTTCTAACAAATTATACCTTTCTCAACAAATGGAGCCAAGGATTGTTTCTATTTAGAAGTTTAAGTTGCGGCAGGTCTGAGAAAGTGTACCAAGTGTCTTTCTAGGGATCTAGAAGCATCAGTCCCTTGGGACAAATCTCTGACAAAACAGGCCCCTCCTTCAGGTGCCTTTTCCTGTCTAGTAGCTAAGCCAGCTTCTGGAAGGTGTAGCTTCTAGGGAGACTTGAGTGGCCCTGCAAATCCAGGTCACTGCTGAGTCCTACTTGAGAACACAGAAGGAAATACAGTATACCATTTGCCTTCAAGCAAGAACTGGTCAAAGTACAAAATAGACAAAGTAATAGAAAATGTAGAAGCTAAAGTGCTCCAGAACTTTAGAATTCAAATAGACAGGCACTTGCCACATCTACAACTTGCCCCTGTCTACAACTGTCAATAAGAAAGACAAAACCTGTCTGAACTGTGGACGTGCCAGTACCCGGAGAAAGCAGAAGAGGAGAGAAGATAACAAAACAAAACACAAAAACCTCAAATAGAAATGGAATGACTTCGGCAAAAGAAAGCAAAGATATCATCAATAGGTGCAATCCCGAAACAGCTGGAGCACCACTTTGAACAGCATGGGCATTGACCAATTTACCATTGATCAGTCAACTGCAAAAGGCAGCTTGACTCAGAACAGCTGATATCCTGTGATGGGATATAAGCATCAACATCTGCCTATCCAAGGTCCTTGGGAAGGACTCACAGGTATATAAAAATGCCAAATCCAGTCTGAACATCTGCTTTTCTATGCAACGAACAATAATAATCAAAGTCTTTAATTTTTAGCCAAAGAAATGAAGTGCAAAGCACTAGGAATATAGAAGTGGGCCATTGTTCCACTCCTACTCCATACAAGACCCAAATTAAGCACCTTTGAAACATGGCAGATTATTTTTCTCTACTTCGCGAGAGACCCGCCTCTCCAGCTTCTCGGCATCCCAATGACTATTCCTGCTGAAAAAGGACTGCTTCCCCATCTGTCCCACCTCAGGCAAACGTTCTTCACATAGCAAACGTTCCCTATGAAGAACAGTCTTTTCTTGCTGTTCAAGTCCAGTCCCTGCCCCAACAGACTGAGCCAAGCCAGCTAGGATAAACACTAGTTGAGCTCCTCACAGAGCGACTGGCAGCCTTAATCTCCCTTTGACCTTTTCAATGGTTCAATCTGACACTTTTTAGCCAGCCAAAAGTCTCAAGTCTTGGGGTAGAGGTGAGGGGACAGAGAGTGTGAGAGAGAAACGGATTGGAACCAGATAGAACTGACATGCTTGCAAAGACTGCTCAGATTTGGGGGATCTGGAAGAGTTCAAGGCACTCTCTGCCTTCAGAGAATCCACGAATTGCATAATTACTTTTCAGTTCAATATCAAAAAGGCAGAACAGAGAAGAGGGGGGGATTACATGCTAAATCAGGAGGCCCAGAGCACCACTTTCTTAGTGAGTTGCAGAGAGATGGAATGGAGACAGTCCAAGCAAGAGTGAAGCCATGTATGAAGCAGTCTAGAAAACGTTGATTTTCAGCTTCTGGGTGAGGTTTTATGGTATACTAGATGTGTCCAAAATAGCAGAAAGAGTGAGAGAAATGAACAATGGCCAGTGATGATTCCTGGCCAGTTAAAGTCCTTCTGGGCAATGGACAGAAGGAGAGATCACCCTCTTGTGCCTCGGACAGGTGTTCCTTGCAAGGAGATTGCAGGATGGAAGAAGTCTTGTGGTCTCTTGAATGGGTGGGTGGGTTAAAGAAAAGAACAACTTTCTTGCACTTGTCATGCCCGACTTTTAAAAGAATTAAGTTCGACCCTTACTTTCTTCATCGGTTGAGATACAATCAATTTACAGTTGAAAACAAGAGCACAAAATAAACTTCTTGGACAGTCAACTTTCCTTCCAAATTACAAAAAGCGATTGTACTTCAATCACTTCCAAATAGAATACTGCAAAGAGATAAATGAAAAGGAGTGATGTTCACTTTTAAGCAATAGAGGTTCAGATTGAACTTGGTGCAGAAAGTGAGAGAATTGTTAGAAATGTTTAAAGGTGAACTGCACTGAAAATGACAAAGATCCTTAGCACTTTGGATTCTGAATAGCTACAAGAATCTAAGGGAGAGATCACCATATTGGGTATTAGAAATCCTAAGGTTTTGGTAGAAATTTGGAATATAATTTCCTAATGTGGAATATAAATGGAACAAGTGATCCGCAAAAAAGAAAATTATTTCACTATTTAAAAAATTGAAACAGGATATATAGGCTTGTTTACAAAAAGCATATACACTGCTCAGAAAAATAAAGGGAACACAAAAATAAGACATCCTAGATCTGAATGAAATCTTATTACTTTGTTCATTACATAGTTGAGTGTGCTGACAACAAAATCACACAAAAATTATCAATGGAAATCAAATTTAGTAACCCATGGAGGTCTGGATTTGGAGTTACACTCAAAATTACAGTGGAAAAAAACACTACAGGCTGATCCAACTTTGATGTAATGTCCTTAAAACAAGTCAAAATGAGGCTCAGTAGTGTGTGTGGCCTCCACGTGCCTGTATGACCTCCCTACAACGCCTGGGCATGCTCCCGATGAGGTGACGGATGGTCTCCTGAGGGATCTCCTCCCACACCTGGACTAAAGCATCCCCCAACTCCTGGACAGTCTGTGGTGCAACATGGCATTGGTGGATGGAGCGAGACATGATGTCCCATATGTGCTCAATTGAACTCAGGTCTGGGGAACGGGCGGGCCAGTCCATAGCATCAATGCCTTCGTCTTGCAAGAACTGCTGACACACTCCAGCCACATGAGGTCTAGCATTGTAGTGCATTAGGAGGAACCCAGGGCCAACCGCACCAGCATATGGTCTCACAAGGGGTCTGAGGATCTCATCTTGGTACCTAATGGCAGTCAGGCTACCTCTGGCGAGCGCATGGAGGGCTGTGCAGCCCCCTAAAGAAATGCCACCCCACACCCTTACTGACCCACTGCCAAACCGGTCATGCTGGAGGATGTTGCAGGCAGCAGAAGGTTCTCCACAGCGTCTCCAGACCGTCACATGTGCTCAGTGTAAACCTGCTTTCATCTGTGAAGAGCACAGGGTGCCAGTGGCGAATTTGCCAATCTTGGTGTTCTCTGGCAAATGCCAAACGTCCTGCACGGTGATGGGCTGTAAGCACAACCCCCACCTGTGGACGTTGGGCCCTCATACCACCCTCATGGAGTCTGTTTCTGACCATTTGAGCAGCCATATGCACATTTGTGGCCCGCTGGAGGTCATTTTGCAGGGCTCTGGCAGTGCTCCTCCTGTCCCTCCTTGCACAAAGGCGGAGGTAGCGGTCCTGATGCTGGGTTGTTGCCCTCCTACAGCCTCCTCCACGTCTCCTGAAGTATTGGCCTGTCTCCTGGTAGCACCTCCATGCTCTGGACACTACGCTGACAGACACAGCAAACCTTCTTGCCACAGCTCGCATTGATGTGCCATCCTGGATGAGCTGCACTACCTGAGCCACTTGTGTGGGTTGTAGACTCCGTCTCATGCTACCACTAGTGAAAGCACCGCCAGCATTCAAAAGTGACCAAACCATCAGCCAGAAAGCATAGGAACTGAGAAGTGGTCACCGCCTGCAGAACCACTCCTTTATTGGGGATGTCTTGCTAACTGCCTCTGCTTTCCACCTGTTGTCTATTCCATTTGCACAACAGCATGTGAAATTGATTGTCAATCAGTGTTGCTACCTGTGGACAGTTTGATTTCACAGAAGTGTGATTGACCTGGAGTTACATTGTGTTGTTTAAGTGTTCCCCCTTTTTTTTTGAGCAGTGTATTTTTAAAAAGGATTTAAAATTTGACCCATTACCTTGATACCTGGGATAACATCGAGGATGAGGAAAAATCAGAAAGGTATTGGCTTTTATCTTGTACCGACCATGAGGAAAGGGCCTGGCACACCACGAGTGCAAGTGCACACATAATTTCTGATGCAGCAATGGAAAACAGTGCCCAGGAGTGAAAGGGCAGCTTGCCCGAGGTTCTGGTTCTGAGATGCTCTGGATTGGGTTCTTCTATGCCCCAGAAAGCCTGGTTGCTGTCTGGGATGCTCAGCTGTGGCTGGATTCCAAAAAGTTCCTACAATTGCAGCCAGACTGGCAACCGTGAACTTAGCGGGGGTTCCCTCTGCTTTGGCTACCAGCCCTGCAAGGCCCTTTGCCCTTCTCTCTTGAGTAGCGTCCAGAAAGCACAGCGGGTGCGGAATGGGAGGACCAGCCAGCCAGGCCGCTGACCCCAGCCAGAGGGACCCTCTCCCTGCCCCGCTGAAGCGTTAAAAGAAAGGACCACGAACCGCTGCCTGGGAAAGGCTGCAAAGGCCCTGCGGCGGCTGGCCACCGTTGGGGAGGCAGGCAGGGGCTCCTGCACCCCAGGAACCGGCTTCCCTCCCACAATGCCCGATGGTGCCAAGAGCGCTTCTCCTTCACGCCTTTGAAGGTCTCAACTTCCCCCAAGTCTAAACCCGCCGTTCCGTGTTTTAAACCTCATGAGCTGCTTCGGGTGGGGAAGGAAACGGACAGGCGGGGTATGAATTCAGGCCAAAGGAAGAGAGCAAGCAAAGGCGGATTCCACCCATGACGCCCAAGGAAAGCGGGACCCTCCCCCGGCGGGACCACCGAAAGGCCCTTTCCCGCAGGCAAGCAAAGCAGCCACGCCGCTTCCTCTTTTTTCGGCCCCGGCACCAGACGCCGCATCCCCGCTGGCCCACGCAGGTCGGCCGAGACGGCCCGGCGCCCAGCACGCCCCTCCCGGAGGCCACCCCCAAAGCGGCGCCGGCAGAAACCGGAGAGGCGGCCGCGGTGCCCCTCCCCGGGACCGGCCCGAGGGCGGAGCGGCGCCTCTCCGAAGCAGAAGCGGCCCCGTCCGTCCGGCAGCCGAAGGGAGGCCCGCCGCTGCGCCACCGACCTTCCAGGCTCTCGCACTGGACCAGGTTGAGGTAGTCGGCCTGGCTGAGCACCCCGGCCTTGAAGCCGCGCACCAGGCCCTCCAGGTAGCCGCTGTCCACGTTGAAGTAGAGCTCTGGGAAGCAGGAGAGCAGCATGGCGGCGGCGGCGGCGGCGGAGCCCGGTCTGTCCCGTGACGCCCAGCACTTCCGCCGCCGCAGAGGCCATAGAGACACACAGAGGAGCGGCTTCCGGCGCCGCCAGAGCTTCCCGTCTTCGGGAGAGCGTCTCCACCTGGGCTGGGCCAGAAATACTCCGCTGGAGGGACGGGAGGGGGGCTGGAAAGCTTCGGTTCTAGGAACGCGAGGGAGACGCCGAGGGAGTCCGGCAGCTGGAAGGGAGCCTGGAAGGCGGGCCCTGTGCCTCCGCGCCCGGCTGCCCGCCTCCTTTCCCAGCCTCTGCTGGCGAGGCTCCTTCCGGGGGCCCGGAGCGGCAACAGAGCCCAGCCGCCGGGAAATCTTTCCTGAGGGCAGGCGGAGGCCCAGAACCGAAGCCTCGGTGGGTTGCAGCTGCGGGTGAGGCCGAGAGTCAGGCTTCCGTGCGGGGGGGGGGGGGGGGGGGGGGGGCCGGGCCCTTCCCTGAGGCAGCTGCGACTAGGAGAGTCCGGGGGGTCGTGGCTGGGCCTGCAGGGCGGCTGTTGGGCGCCTCGGGGCTCTTGGCTCTCCAGGAGCCGCTGCAGAATCGCCCCTGGCGGGACTGGCCTTCTGGGGGATACAAAGCCCCGCCTGGCCTTTGCCGGGCCTCCCTCCCGAGGGCTTCAGAGGGTTGTTCCAGGACATTCCCTCGCTGGAAAGGGGCCTTTCACCCTTCGGGGACCCGAGGCCGCCCCTCCTTGGGCCCCGGGAGTGGAATGCCTTGGAGGAGACGCGTTGGGCACCCCTTGCTATCCCAGGTGCTGCCAGACAGACAAACATCCGGCTGGTCTTTTCAGAGAAGGTGTTCAACCTAAAACATTTTTTGCAGCCCAGACTCTGCTGCTCCGTTCTTGCCTCCCAAATCCCATATTTCTGCAACCTGAAAGACAAAAGGTTTTGGAGAAACCTGGCCTGGCAGAAACGGGTAGTCCTCCAGTTCACTTAGTGACTGTTGGAACTTACAACTGAAAAAAGTGACTTACGACCATTTTTCACACTTATGACCATTGCAGCATCCCCCAAGGTCACGTGATTTACATTCAGATGCTGGATAACTGGTTCATATTTATGACGGTTGTAGTGTCATGGGATCACGGGATCACTTTTTGTTGACCTGGCAAGCAAAGTCAACTTAGAAAGCCAGATTCACTTAACGATGCTGTTACTAATTTAACAACAGCAGTGATTCACTTAATAAATGGGGCAAGAAAAGCTGTAAAATGGGGTAAAACTCACTTCACAAATTTCTCACTTAGCAACATAAATTTTGGCTCAGTTGTGGTCATAAGTCAAGGACTACCTGTAGTATACCTAGAACAAGTTGTCCAGAGACACTTTTTGATAAATTTTCATATTTATTTTTTATTCTCTGCTTTATATATACTATTCACCATTCTCTTGGGTGTTACCATATGTTTCACATGTATGAGGTCTGTTTCAGAGTCACCTCTCTATATTTTTTAGTTCTGATTTGGAAAATAGGGAATATCATCACTCCCATTAGAAGAAACCAGGGGCAGCTTGACTCCTGCCTGCTGAGTTGAGGCAAAAGGATGTTTTTATAAATAAAAGAATCTGAACACTGTATTGGAATCTGGAAAACAGAAATCCATGGAAAGTAGGGATAGGTTTGAACAAGTAAGATTATGGAAATAAGATATAAATAAGGCTGGAGACCCTGGTACATTCCTGTTTTGATTAAGGTTGGATGAAAACTGGAGAATCACAGTTGAAGCTAAAGTGCTTTTAGCTTTTATTTAACATCATTAATGGAAAAAAAAGTCACATTTCTTGGATTCTTTCTCATAGGCGATTTATTGGAATGTAAAAGGAATGTATATGGACCAAACCAATTCAAGATTAATAAATGACAGCCTGCAGAATGCGAGCTAGTTCCTCCCACAGGGGAAAGTGGTGCTAAATTTCTTGCAGAAGCAGTTGGCGTTGAAAAAGCGGCAGTAGCAAGTGGCACACGGGTCACAGCATGGCAATTTGTGCCCAAGGCAAGATTCCTGGACACGGACACATCTCCGCGGGGAACGGCCCTCCCGCTCCTGGCCCTGCAGTGCTGCTGACATAATCTGCAAGGAGACCACAAAGAGGGTCATGGGGGTAACATTTAACACAGGTCTGAGGAATTCTAAAGTGAGCCTAGCTGGGAAATACATTAAAAATCGCTTTTTGCTAAGGAGAGAAAACCATGCTTGTCTATATGGCAGTTTAATATGTATGTTTTAAAATGAGTGAAGGCATAGACTAGAAAAAATAGTCTGGGACGTTTTTAAGCCAGGGTTTATTATTGAATCTCTAAGCCTTGTTTATCGGTTACTAATGGGCCTCTAGGAGAGGCGCAGGCCCTGGTTAGCCCCCAATGGGCAAGCCTGAGTTTCTCAGAGCTGCCTCCAGTAAGGCAGCTTCCACCAGGAGGATCGATCAGTCCAATCTTAAAACCTTCAAAATGAGCCTTACATTCATCTACTAACATTTATATATATGTATGTATGTATGTATGTATGTATGGTATTCAGCTTTGTTCGGGTATTTTCCCACGTCATTATAGTTGAGCTTTTAAAGTTGTAGCAACGTTTCAGCAGAATCTCATCTGCCATCATCAGGCTTCTGTATTGTGTTCGTCTGTGAGTCAGACTTTCAAACGTTGCTATAACTTTAAAAGCACAACTATAATGACGTGGGAAAATACCCGAA